GATCCTATTCTCGCGGGTCTTTTCCAAGATTTGGCGTATTGTGAATACCTGATCTATGGGGGATTTTCCAGGCCTAAAGCCACACTGATAAGGTCCAATCAGCTCGTTGACGGTGGGCTTCAGTCTTTCGCACAATACGCTCGATAAGACCTTGTAACCTATGCTTAGAAGGCTAATTCCGCGGTAGTTGGCGCGTATGGCGGGGTCGCCTTTCTTGTGGATTGGGCAGAGCACACTTAAATTCCAGTCGTCGGGCATGCGTTCATCTGACCATATTCTGCATACGAGCTGATGCATGCACCTCATCAGCTCCTCGCCGCCGTACTTGAATAGCTCGGCTGGCAGGCCGTCAGCTCCAGCAGCTTTGTTGTTTTTCAGCCGCGTAATCGCTATTCGTACCTCGTCATAGTCAGGCGGTGGGACAGCTACTCCATCATCATCGACTGGGGACTCGGGTTCGTCTTCCTCACTACTTTCAGCGCTGCTACCATTCAGTAGGTTATAAAAGTGTTCCCTCCACAATTTAAGTATATTCTGGACATCGGTCACTAGGTCGCCATTGTTGTTCTTACAGGAGTTCGCCCCGGTCTTGAAACCTTCCGTAAGTCGCCTAACCCTCTGGTAGAATTTTCGGGCGTTCTTCCTGTCGGCCAGCATCTCAAGCTCTTCGCACTCACGTATTTCGGCCTCTCTCTTCTTATTGCGGCAAATACGTCTCGCTTCCTTCTTCAGTTCCCTATAACGGTCCCACATGGCTCGCGTTGCGCCCGATCGCAGCGTGGCCCTGTAGGCGGCATCTTTTTTCTCTGCGGCTTCTTGACATTCCTCATCGTACCAGTTGTTCTTTCGGGCTCGCTGAAATCCAACTACTTCTTCGGCGGCGGTACTTAATGATCGGGAAATGTGGTTCCACTGCTCGCGTACGTCGGATTGTTGAAGAGTGCTCTCAGAGAGCAGGTGTGTGAGTCGAGTGGCGAATAAATTGGCCGTCTGTTGTGATTGCAGCTTTTCGACGTTAAGCTTTCCTTGCATTGTTGGGCGCACATTTTTTGCTGCACGGAGGCGGGTGCGTATCTTGGCTACAACAAGATAGTGGTCCGAGTCGATGTTTGGCCCTCGGAGTGTACGTACGTCCAAAACGCTTGAAGCATGCCTTCCGTCTATCACAACATGATCGATTTGGTTTCTCGTTTTTCGATCTGGAGACAGCCATGTAGCTTGGTGGATGTTCTTATGCTGGAACCTAGTACTACATATTACCATATTTCGGGCCCCGGCGAAGTCGATCAGCCTCAGTCCGTTATCGGACGTTTCGTCGTGGAGGCTGAATTTTCCGACAGTGGCGCCAAAGATCCCTTCCTTGCCCACCTTGGCATTAAAATCGCCAAGCACGATTTTGACATCGTGTCGGGGGCAGCGCTCATATGTACGTTCCAAGCGCTCATAGAAGAGATCCTTGGACGCCTCATCCTTCTCTTCCGTCGGGGCATGGGCGCAGATGAGCGAGATGTTGAAGAATCTAGCTTTGATGCGGATTGTGGCTAGACGTTCGTCCACCGGGGTGAACGCCAGTACTCGGCGACGGAGTCTCTCTCCTACCACGAATCCAACACCGAATTTGCGCTCCTTTACGTGGCAACTGTAGTAGACGTCGCAAGGCTTCACGCTTACTTTACCTTGCCCCGTCCATCGCATTTCTTGGATGGCGGTGATGTCAGCCTTTGTCTTCCCGAGGACATCAACCAGCCGGGCAGAGGCACCTTCCCCATTAAGGGTCCGGATATTCCAGGTGCATACCCTTAAATCATAGTCCTTTATACGTTTGCCGTGGTCGTCATCAGAAAAAGGGGGTCTCATCCGAGGCTGTTTGCTTCTTTTCATTGGGCGGGGTTTTAACGTGGCGGGACCCAAACCCAGCGCACGCGAAGTTTTACGCCTTCTCACTTTAGCTCGCTCCCAAACGGGTGTTTGGTTGCTACCCAGAGGATACGTGGATATAAATATCCGGACGTTGTGAGCTGCGATTTGAACCGTACGCACAAGAATCGCTTCTGGCCACTCCCAGGTGAATGGCAGTCAAAAGTTTTCCACTTCTGCGCACGGAACCAGGCGAGGCCATCACATCCTTATAATTATTTAGGGAATAAATTTTTTTTTTTAATTATGAGTGTTCCTGGTAACTTTACAACTATAAGGCCAGGTAAAAAACCTTGGGAAGCACCGGTAAGCAGTATCAGAGGATTGCTTTATGTAAATGGTGAAGTCAAATTCAAGTTGCGTCATACCGACCAGGGTTGTTGCGAATATTCGCATTCGCATTCGCAACCGCGGAGCTTCCGCAATAATTTAACATACGTATTCGCTTTCGCATTCGCAATTACCAATGCGGAGCTTTTGCGAATGCGAATGTTGTGCAGGTGCACCAATAAAACGTAATATGGCANCAGGGTTGTTGCGAATATTCGCATTCGCATTCGCAACTTTCTTTCAATGAACAGTCACACAAGTTCCAACTTCCACTTGACCTTTGACGTACGTCAAGGAGAACATAGTATTTTTAACAATATTTTTTGTTTTCTCGTCTTTAAATACCTGCATTGGTTTCTTTCTTTATTATGATTTTTTTGGACCAATCTTAAAAAACTACTAGACACAAAAGAGTAAAGTGTGCACTGTAATTCTTAACCAAATTTTCGTGATTTGCTTTTGATGTTACATATATTCGTTTCAAAAACTTCAAATGAGGCTCTTTAAGGAATTAATTTTTAGCAAAAATTTAAAGAACAGTAATTTGGTTTACTTGTCGGGCAATATTTTTTTCGTAGAGATATCCATTGGCTAAAAACTTCTATGGTAAAACTGTCTCTTCTNAAACTTCAAATGAGGCTCTTTAAGGAATTAGTTTTTAGCAAAAATTTAAAGAACAGTAATTTGGTTTACTTGTCGGGCAATATTTTTTTCGTAGAGATATCCATTGGCTAAAAACTTCTATGGTAAAACTGTCTCTTCTTTGCTATTTAAAGTCAAGGAGTAAGCTCCTTCAATAGGGATTTCCAGCCGAAATGATCAACGTTTGGCTATAAAGAGAATCGATGGTCAAATAATTAAAAAACTATAGGTCTGACCTTTAATAAGCTAAGAATTACGTAACTATCTGAGATTCAATGCTCATAAAAATTCGGGGTGCTTTTTTTTAAATAACAATATTCTGATCCGGTTCGGCTGACAGCTACGACTTTGAAAACAGAATTCTGTTCAAATTTTTCATTCCTGGAAAATAATAATTTATTTTCCATATCCCCCTATTTAGTTCGCTATAAGCACAAATTGTTCAAACCAGTCGCAGAAGAAAGTATTAAAAATGAATTACAAAAACTGAAATCGAAAAAGGCTGATGAAGTTACAGATTCGCCAAATTCTGCAACAGCCAGAGGAATGAGAATGAAAAATTCTTTTTAAAAAGCTTTAGAAAAACCTGACACGTCTGGTTTGGCGCTGTTTAAACAACGATCACGCCATTATGCTAGATTCTAATTGTTTCTTAAAAATACTTTACATCCGCATTCGCGGATGTTAGCTGTTAGATATTCACATCCGCATTCGCATCCGCGGATGTCCAAAATTCCACATTCGCATCCGCGGATGTCTAAAATTCCACATTCGCAACATCCCTAATACCGACTTCTGAACATCATTGCCACAAAAACGAGCTCTGTTATTACAGCAATACGAAACGGAGCTATAAGATGGTCCAAAAAAAATTGATCAATCTAAACACAACAGCCTTAAAACAAACGTTAAAGNCTTCTTAAAAATACTTTACATCCGTTAGCTGTTAGATATTCACATCCGCATTCGCATCCGCGGATGTCCAAAATTCCACATTCGCATCCGCGGATGTCTAAAATTCCACATTCGCAACTTCCCTAATACCGACTTCTGAACATCATTGCCACAAAAACGAGCTCTGTTATTACAGCAATACGAAGCGGAGCTATAAGATGGTCAAAAAAAAATTGATCAATCTAAACACAACAGCCTTAAAACAAACGTTAAAGCAATATAAACACAAAGATTTTCATTCGTCTCATGATAATCTACCTCGATAAATACTTAGTTTTACATTTTTATGCAATTTACTATGTTGTGCAAATTTGCTTTATGTACACAAATGTGAAAGCATTTAATAAAAACTCAATTATATTTATATTGAAATTATTTCTTGTATATACGAGCTTTCATTGGATATCACCCATCGAATCTTTGAAAGATTGCATTGGGTCAAGTTAATACGCTGACCGAAAAAACAGTTCGCATCTCTGGCAATTTTATGGTTTGTACAAAATATGTGTTCACTTACCACTTCGCATTAATTTTTATTACCAAAATTCAATTAAAACGTTTCTGACCATTTTCCATTACATAACAGGAGCAAGGGTCAGTTAACTAATCGAGTCCTCAACTTCTATACAGTGCATCTAGGCCTAACGGCAGTATTATATACAAATTGCATACGATTCCATACCGCCAAAAGCAATTTTAAATCGTGTATAAAAACAGCTACATATTTGCTTTAAAGCGGCGCATATGTTGATCACGTCGTAATTGGTCAAAAAAATTTGTTCATAAATCAAGAACATATTTTTAATATATTTTTTTTTTTAATACGACATTTGCAAAATATTGCCTATTGGCACCAGTAATCAGTTTTTTTGCTATCCTGAAAAGTTATTAAACCACACATAACTGTTTTTGTTGGCGCAGCGACGAAATATTACTTTTTCGACTAGTTTGTTTATTCCGTCTTTATAAAATAATTTCAAATGGAAAACAACTTTTTATATATGGCCGGCAAAATGCTCCACACGCTTTACGTAACAGCACGACTACCCTAGGGCTAATAAAAACAATAAGAACTTTCAGATAAAATAAATAGGAAATACCCATGGAATTTTCTTAGTTTCTTCCTTACCCTTTGATTTAGGAAATTTTCCAAGATCTAATTTTTATGTCATTCATATTGAATTCTTTATGGGATTATTTATACAGTATGTACATAAATATGGTATCTATATCATTTCTTTTATATAGTATGTACATAAATATATATGTGTATGTATAAATGCTTAAAATTTTAGTAATAACGTTGATATTCACGACCAGAATCCATGGCTTGGTCCGGTCCATTTAAAACCGTTACTCGTGGTCGATGATGATACTGCGAATAGTTTTGCCTATAACTTGGATTATAATTGGGATAATAGTTGGAATAGTATGGATAGTTAGAATGTGGCCTTAGTGTAGTGGTTGTTGTTGTTGTTGTGGTTGTGGACAAATTAGAAATTACTGTGTTTTTGAAGAACTCGGGGTACAAATTTGGCACCAGAAGTCCATCGCCGAAGTGATAATCTAACTCCATTGTTGTAGCATTCGAGTTAACTATTCTCAAAAATGGACCCACCTCGGTCGTGACATTTGGCCATACGCTATTGTTCCTATGAGGAACATTATACGCAGCGAAATCCGTCCACATATTAACCAGAGAGCGCGATAGTGCGCGGTCTTGTGTACCTAAATTCCTTACTTCCTCTGGATATGGGAACAGGTATATGTTGTCATCGCTGAGTGTAGCATCGGTTTCAAATGGCAATGGATTTTTTAGGTGTCCGAAGCGATGGAATTCACCACGATAATCAAAACAATACAAATACGTTGGTGCTTTTTTATAAGATCCTCTAATCGTATCGAGTACTGGGCCGCGGTATAGAACCAAATTTGTAAGCTGTTGAATAGACAATAAAATAAGTCGGGCCGATATCGTAAAAAATGATGTCATGTCTCCGATTTGCTACAAATACTTTTTATGGGTTCTATACGTGAAATAAGCTAACACGTTTTCGAGAATTTTTTTCTTTTTGTCACAGTTTGGATTTGTTTCGTGATTCTGACTAATCATGTACTTCTTCAAATCATAATATCTCGGGATATGCTCAACGCAGACACTTCATCTTAACGCCTTAGGAATGGGCTTAGTATATTCGTATATAAGTTGCTCATGATTGTCCTAAAGCTATCTTAGCTATAAACAGTTTCACTTTTTGAAGTTGATTTACATAGTGAACCCAGTAAATAGAGTTGTCAAACTATCGATTACACGATTGAAACCTTGCTAAGCTGACGCCTTTATACTTTCAATTCATGGTATTATTTAACAATATTACTTATTAAGTAACTTGTGAGAACAATTTATGAGATGAATGAGAAAATTTGATTAATGGACTTTATATGATATTGAGATTATTATTTAACATTGAGTTAAGTGAATATGAAATATATATGAAGGTCAATTCAATGGAAAATTCGCACTTTAATTCGTTGTACATCCCTTCTTGAGATCAAGGATATTTACAATATATATGTGTAACGTTAGGCAAGTTACAATAGCAAAAAAATAGTTAGGGTGCTCACAGTTCTATATTACCTACTGTGTTAATTTTGCCACCTGGTAACTTTAAAACATTTTACCATGTGGTAACTTTGTTTGTTGTTGGTTGCCATACGAATTAGAGATAACACTTTTGGGAAAAATTACTCGACTTTGTCTCGTTTTTGTTTTGTGTTAAACTGGCATCTCTGATCAGGTGATTATTCGTGCGAAGAAAAAATGGAAAGTGAAGCAGAAAAACTTAAGCTTGGCGCACATTTTAAAGATTTTTAATTTTTATGGGATGCATTAACGCAAGCCTTTTTGAACGCAAGTCATTTCGGAAATTTAAGTGAGCGCAAGTCACTTAAACATACCGGCCCCGTTGCAACGGTGCAAGTGTAGTTCGCAAGCTTGTTGCTTGACATCTATTGCAGGCAATTTGATAGTTTGATAGCCATATTTTCACTTGAAAGAAAGCGTGCTGGTGGTAACATCGATGCAATATTAATATTAAATCAAAATAAGAATCTGTTCCCTATTGGATTATTTATGATAACGTTTTAGGAAGTTATTCAGCAAGTTTTTTTTTAAGATTTAAATGTTTTTAAACATCGAAATTGAGAGAATGTTATCTGGCGGCGTCATGCGGCAAATGCTTATACATATCAAGGCATCAAAGTGCCCACACATAAAAACTTGCAATCATACTGCTCGTCAAAATGACAGTTGGTAGGCCATCGGTGTTTGCCTGTGGAGTTTTGCGGTAAATTTTGCCCTATGTATTTTGTTTGTGTGAAATTATTTTAGTATCGGTTTACCGGTTACCGAATTATCGTGGTGGAAGCTTGATAATTTTTCTGGTAGTTGGTAAACTGCAATCAACTGTACGATATTCATCAAATTTTGAATCCGCCCGCTGCCGAAAGGTATACCGCATTTGAGTAAACAAAATTCCTTAAATTTTTTGTTACAATTTATTTTTTTTTATAGGAAAAAACTACGACTCAGTTGTTATAAACATACATAGTTTACTAGACTAAAGGTGTGGTTAAACGTGGCAATGCTAGCTCTTTTTCTACACATTTTGCTGTCGAAATGCGAAATCGAAAGTCTACTTTCTGGTGCAAAGAGTCAGAAAGTCCTTTGTGCATATTTGCAGAAATCACTTTCGGCAATAAAAATTGCAAGCTGTAACTGCAACTGAAATTACGAAAATCGCTTTCGGGAAAAAATTTCAACTTGCTCGTGCAATAAATGTTAAATTGTTTTGGAAAATGGTTTTTCATAAAAATTATTGGTTTTATTCCATATTGATGCTTTGATACTTAAATGAAAAAAAGTGATACATATTGATACATTTTAAGTCTCTTTTCTGCCACAATTTTTCACAAGCCCGCGATCACACTGGTTATATACATACACACCTACGTAGGTACCGCTATATCCGTTGCAATAACGGCATGTTATAGAAAATTCCACTTAATTGGTAACGTTGCTTCTTTTATCACCTTGCATGCTAGCTTCCCTTAGTGTCTTGGTGTACACTGTGGTTCCGCGATTTTTCTAGCGCTGGGCGATGGCAAATTGCTGGTGCGATGGGAGAAATAGCCATGCGACTTCCTTATTGCAAATCAAAATTTGGCCACTTCGTTGGTAATAGCTGCTCCTGAGAACCGGTGCTGGCGATACTATTCCAGTTGGTGACTTTCACGCTGTGTTTGCGCAGAACACTTATTAAATTGCTGAAATTTAACTCAATGCCCAACTTTCGCTTGGGCTTTCTATTAATTTTTTCCGTTGTAATACTTTTACGCTTTTTGAGCTGCTTATTTCCCCGGTATGTTAAGTTGGAGATGCCAAAAATGAATGTTTGTTAAGGATGACAAAATTAATGTTGAAGCTGTCAATTGCAAATAGTGTTGGGAAGCGTTTATTTATTTCCGAATTTGAAGTTTAGATTTCGCGTTGCCAAATTTTGCTCGCAAGGACCATGTTGCGAATTGTAAGGAAGTTGACGATTTCATGTTTTCAATTCATGGTTTTATTTAACAATATTACTCATTAACTAACTTGTGGGAACAGTTTATGAGATGAATGAGAAAATTACATTAAAGGACTGTATATGATATTGAGATGATTATTGATCATT